ATGATCAATCAATGGAATGGTATCACCATCGTTCATGTTTGTTCTCAGCTGTAGAGTAGGAAAACCAAGTTTCATTTTCTGTCACAATGTATATCAGAAATTCATCTCCTCTTGAGTATCAATCCAAAAAGATGCTGCATCCATACAGTTCTGTGTTAATCACTAAGCTGGTTTGGAACACATCTTGCACAAATTTTTCATTGTTAATTTGTGGAATCTTGGGTAATTTTTCATGTATTTCATTAAGTGAGATGCCAACCCTGTTTAATGAATTCCTTTTTGATGAAGTAATGCATGAGAAAAATAATATATAACATGCTGGCAAGAAATTGTCAACCAGATTAATTGATCTATTTCATGCAGAGTTGTAGGTACCCAATGATTCTTTCTACAGAGTTCTGGGCAAAGTTCAACGAAATTTGGTATATGTACTGTCTCGAGTATGCAGTTTGGATTTTTGGTATGAAATTTGATTTTAATTTAGTTGTTAGTGTGAAATTTGATACTGCTGTCCCTCTTATGTGCATATTTCAGGGGTATTAAGAAAAAAAGTGCAACAATTTATTTTCAATTACAAGTGTGGAATGGACACACAGAGCATCAAAGAAATGCTTTGTATTCTCCATCTCCATACTCTAAAAACAATTTTGCATGTGCAACAAGTACATGCAGCAAATGCAGTCTTGAGACAGCCTCATTTGTCAAGGTAATGTTCCCAACTTAGCTATTTAGATAGACTCAAAAAGTCAGAAGCGTTTTGGATCTTGTGAGTGTGGTGCCACGATGGAAATAATTGGCTAACCATTCTCTTGCAAAAAATGCTTTATTGCAACATTGTGCACTCCCAGAAAATGGCTTAAGTCTGGCATTCAGACAATTTCTCTGCTGCAGCTGGAATGACACTAGCCCAAATGCAGAGTTTTCTTCAAAAAAAAAATTTAAGGATGGTGTAAACTAACCTCACAATTACTTTTTACTGAGTGCAATGGAATTTGTTACTGAAAGTGGCAAATGTTTTCTAATTTAGGGGACTATTTGTTATGGAAAAAAAAGCCCTCCTTGTCACTTTATCATGAGTTCAGTCAGCCCACAATGGAGGTGGAGAGGGGCAGACCAACATTTCTGAGACATGGGTGGGGACCAATAAATAATTCCTGTGATGTTTTTCAAATGAGATACCTGGTATCGAGTTCAAGCAGAGAATAGGCTGACAATTCATAAGATTTTCGGTTCCTTCTATAAAGTATACTCAAATGTAAAAATGTTTATGTAATTTCATTTTTAACTGGCATTAAAATAAGGATGCTATTTATATAAAATCATAAAACAGTTTGTTTACTCTTTAAATCAAAGACTCATCCATTTGATCCATAAACAAATTTGGAAGAATATCTTTTTATCAGTAGTAATGGAAATGTTGCATTTGTTGAGTGCACACAGACTGAATTTCTTTTGTCATAATGACACAGTTAGTCTAATACTTTATTAGACTGTATTCTATTTTGTAACGAAAGCAGCTAAAATTATAATCATTGATGGTCTTATATGTAACAACGAATGTAGTTGACTGACTTCAGTACAGTTGTACAATCTAAAAATACACACAGTATACATGCTATGGTAATTAGAATATTCTGGAAGATTAGTGCACCACAACAGCATAATTACATAGTTTAATGCAATATTGTAGCCCATCAGCAGGCTAAACAAGTAGATTATTCAAATAATTGAAGAACTATAGTTTATATAAAATGTCTATCCTTTTACTATACAAAATTGCAAAACTATTCCAATAAAATATTGACTAATGGAAAACAGTAGAAATGTGTGTGAAAGTGACCTTTTTTCTAAAAACTAACATAGAATTCTGCTTTTTCTTAGGAAGTAAGTGGAAATTATCATCCATATCTGAAATTTTGTGTAAAGAAAATATTTAATTACGTAACCAATATTTCTATATACATACATTATGATTATACAGTCGACAACTAGATGTTACATTGTTAGCCGCAGTACAAAAAAGATTCCGTCCTGTGGCAGAACTATTGTTCGGTCCCAAAGACAGACTTTTTTTTTTTTTGACTACGCATCTGATTTGACTAGAGGAGGGTCAGAGGCTGACGCCACTCCATCTCCCGCCTCATAATTGGCCACAGATTCACCGGGAAGAATGCACTTCCACAGGCCGTATGTCTTGCCCACTGTGGTCTGCCAGAGTCGTAGGGTTCCATCCTCACTCCCGCTGGCATACAGCTCGCCATCGGGAGAGAATCTGACACAGTGAACGGGTCCGAAATGGCCTTTAAATGATTCTGGAGGCAGAAAAAAGCAAATCCAGTCATTTGTCACTCATTAAAACAGACGACCCTAACATGTTACTTACCTAATTCTTCTCCCGTCCGATAATTGTACTTGTACATTTTGAAGTCTTCTCCTCCACATACGAAAACAGATTTGTCAGGATGTAGGGAAGCCGAATTAACTTGTGTGGGAATATCGAAAGTCTTCAATTTCTCATAACTATACAAAGTATTACAGCACACATAACTATACATTGTATTTTGACATGTTTAAAATTAACAACACTAATCCTAAAAATATACACACTAAATTCATGTAGTGATCAAGATCTGGAAAAAAACCATGAAAAAAAATTAACTAAATGGTTTTTATCTTTTATTCTATATCAAATTAATTTTCAACTTGGATGCATATTTTAAGATATATTTGTTGAGTCCATTATAAAAGATCCATTGGTCATATAAGAAATCACCAAAACTAAATTGTGATGTTAATGTTCATATTTTATGGTAAATTTTGATATTTTATTATGTAAATATTGTATGCATCTCTCGACTAAAGTAATTTACTACATTGTGTAAATGTGTCAAACTACCCCCTTATCAAAGGGCCAAGTTCAGAATTTCACATGGGACCACAATAGTTTTATTAAACAGAAAAAGAAAATACTGTATTATTCTTTAATGGAGAATTCAAAACTTTTCAGCAATACAGAAAATTTGAGCATTTATTTCAAATTAACAGAATTGCCATTTTTATTCAAAAATGTCCTAATAAAAGAATTTTTTAACCACTAATACTTGGTAATTTTGCAGATGCAGATGAAAATAATGTGTTTTTTGAAGAAATATCACAAATATTCTTTACTTATGCAATGGAGACAATTGTCTTTAAAATTTGAAAAACTTCTGCATGAAAATTAGGCAATTGAATGCAGGTTTTATTTGAGGTCATCTAAATGTCTTATAGTAAGAAATGCCTTTTCATGGTATAACTAATTTAACTTATGAGCATTTATCCATTGAAAATGAAACCCAAACTTTAACATTTTTTGGATTCTTGATTGTTTTTGAAAAAAATAAAAGCAAGCAATTATTTCTTGTGGCATCGTCACAATGCCAGGCTGCAATTTTTAATCATTTATTTAATTTAAAATATATGCTCTCTACCTCAAATTTAGTTTTCTCCCTGTATGTATATCATACTTTACCAGCACAACTCTTTTGCTAGCATGAAATATATAACTACTTTAGGGAAAAATTTTTGAATCAGCATATTAAACATGTTTAATACCTTTAGAAAGGAAAAAAATTTCTAAAAGCATTTGAATTATTATAAATCTACAATTCAATACTTTTAATAACTTATTTACAATTAGAGTCTACCTGTTGCAACAAATTTTGAATACATTATTATACTTCATAATTAGTGTGTTTTTTTTCTGAATACCATAAAAGCACTGATTAAACTGATAACACTAACAGGTAAACGTTAGGCATTCCACTGTACTGAGACTGATAATGCAAAATGATAACTTAAAACTGCCTTCTTACCTAAAGATAATGATCACTATTGTAATCAGACATTTAATAATAGTTAAGTTTTGCAAATATTAACATATTATAGGACTTATTTAATGCTATAAGTGATAAAATTTACTTATTGTAATCATTATTATTATTGTATTATTTAATTATTAAGAATATTTCTTACCTTTCAGTATCCCAAAAACTGACTGTGTGACCATGTGTTATGACAAGTATCTTTCCGTCGGTCGATAACTCTAAACTGCTAGGAGCTGCCGAAAATTCTAATTTCTTTATTTCTTCTTTATCACTTCGGTTCCAGAACCTTTTTGAAAAATTTTTATTTAAAAATAATTTTATTCACATTATTTGTTTGTATTCAGTTCAAGTAAATCATGTCTCACTACAAATTTTTTTTTCCAATTTGATAATTTATAAATAAATTTTAATGAAGGATTGTAAAGACTAAAACATGATAATCATGAAAATTAACTGACCTGACAGTTTTATCATCAGAAGCACTTACAATCCTTTTGTCATCTTTAAGGAATAGAGACTGTCTTATTACTGAAGAATGGCCTTTAAATATAACTGGATCTGAAATTTATTAACATTTATGAGATAAAACATAAAAATAAATGATTACTTGCAAGAGTTATTATTTATTGTGACACCGTCCCAATGCCAGGCTGCAATTTTTAATCATATTTTTAATAATTTATTTAATTTAAAATACATGCTCTCCACCTCAAATTAGTAGTGTCTTATCCCTGTACATCATACTTTTCCTTTGACAATAGAGTCGTGTCAGTCATCTATCTAACGCCTTTCAAGGAAAAATTTTTGAATTGAAACAACATGACTTCAGGTTTGCATGTAGTTAATTGGGACCTCATGCCCCTAATCTTTCCATATCTGGTCTGGCTTTCATCTATCTAACTCCGTTCTTGAGATTAAGGAAGAACTGACAGGTGATAGTGGAAATTTATAGGTCTACAATTTTTTCAAATTCTAGTCTAAAAATTGCTAAAATTATGTAAAGCAATTAAATAATTGATTAATATAAGATACTGGCATATTAATGCTGTATGGTTTTTATGTGAAAGTACCTTACATCAGTAAATCAGTCAATCAGTGTAATATGAACATGGTTAAAAAAAAAGGAAGTTAAATAATATTTTTCAGATTATTCTTTGAAATATTTGAGATAAAATTATATGGAACCAATTTTCAATTTCATCTCATTCTAATTTTAATCCAATATAACATTTTTATTACAGAACTGAATGTTCTAATAATTTAATACCAAAAAGAATTTTTACACAAAATAATATGACATGTGAAAATCTTGCAAAATTTTCCAAGACTTTTACATTTATCATCAAAACCCAAGACATTTTTAGCATTTTAAATAATCCTGATTATACATTAAGTCTTTGTGGCTATGTAAATAACTAATCAACTGTAATTATATAAAATATTACAAATTATTCCAATGAATTGCCAATTAAGACAAAGAGAATTTTACACTCATTCAAAATTATCCATTCATATACAGCATAATGACTAAATTTTATGGATTCATAGTTTTATAAACATTAAAAATAGACATTATTTTGATTTTAAAAAATATGCTCTGGTGGATATTATTTTAATATTTTCTTTGATACAGAAAGAAGTTTGTAATTTATTAACATTAAAAACAGATTTATATATACTATTTTTGTTGGTAAGTTTATAAAAGTATAATTAAATGTAGTTGTAAGCTTCTTGCCTCCAATGAATTACTTATCTCAAACTACCAACTGAAGACCAAAATGCATGTCACAAATAAAATTAGTCTTTTATTGATGTGATCTTGATTTTCTAACCTTGTATATCTCCAACAACTGGTAGTTTGAGATAAGTAATATAATTAATTAAATATTTAACAGAACAGCTGTATAATTATATTAATTTAATATTTCTAAGTGAATATATTAGCCAATAAAAATATGCTTGCTTTAAAATGTATGGAATATTTAAATCTTGTGTATCACATTATCATAAATAAAAACTTACCTGCATCAAGTTTGTTTAAGTCAAAGATACGAATTAATTTTTCATTACTTCCTGTAAGTAATTTATTTCCTTCGTTATTAAAATCAACACTTTTAACAATGTGTTGATGAGTGAAACTATATAACTCTTCTCCAGTAACAGCATCCCATAACTATAATTATAAAAAAATTAAATAAATAAATATAATTGTAAGTTTATATGTACATAATTTAATATTTACATTACTTACTTTAGCCATGAAATCTGCTGCTGAAGTAGCAGCACGTGTGGCATCAGCATTTAATGCCACGCCCCATACAGCACCCTTGTGACCGAAAAAAGTACCTATCCAATCTCCGGTATCTCCCTGTCTGAGCATTGGTTTTCCATCTATTTGTTAAATGGCATCCAAATTAAACATTTGTACAATATAAAAGTCATTTTATTTTTTTATAAATATATGATAATTATTGAGTTACACTTAATGCATTTTACATAATTATTATTACAGCTAACAGTTTTTCACAACAAATTTTCAATAATACCCAATAAATTTAAATTATCTGCAAACTCAAGATTTTAATTTTGGTAGAGAAAAAATTTCTTTACAAAATTCTCGAAACTTGATTTCCTTACTTAATAAACATATCTAGTAAGCCAGATGGCTGAGCAGTTAGGATGGCAACCCACCATTCCAAAGGACCCGGGATCAAATTTGGATGGGTCAAAAAACCTCAAGAATTTTTCAGGGGGTCCATCCATATATATGTTGGGTCCCGTCTCTCACCTCCTGGTGCTCTGTTGCAGACCTGGTCGAACCCATAATAGACTTATTAAAAAAGGTCCTCTTAATGTCCATAGTGCAGAGTTAACAATATATATATATAGTAAATTAGTAATCTTGAATTTGAAACAAGAAAAATCATTACTTCAAGATGTTATGTTTAAACTTGAAAAAAATCAAGATATAATACTGATAATACATGCAACATGCATTCCAATTCATACATTTATAAAATTTAAAGAATTTACATTTTTATAAACTATTTCATGTTACAGATCCATTAACTTCTTTTTTATAATTAATGACTATTCTAATAAATTAGAATATATTTTGCAGCTTTTCGATACAAATCTATATATATAATCGAGATGGGTTAATAATAATAATAATAAGTGCAGAGCCCAAACGGTTAGGAGTTGAAGGTTAAAATTTGGTACACAGTTAGGGTACGTCACGAGAATGTACACTAAGAAGGGATTTTTCAAAATTCCCCCCATAGGGAGAGGGACAGGATTAAGGCTTCCCACGAAGAACTTGGCTTCTATTAAACTATTTTAGATGTGGGTTTTTTGTGTTTTTGGTTGCATTTTAATAGGGTATGTCACAAGAATGTACACTAAGAAGGGTTTTTTGAAATTCCCCACAGGAAAAGTGTTAACAATGAAAGTATTAATAATGGAAGAATTAAGTAAAAATGGAAGTGTTAAGAGAAAGCGACGTGCAAGATTTACAGGCGCTGATGCAGTTTTTTGCGGGAAATCGAACATATTTTTAGAACCATCTAAAAATTTTCTAATTAGTCTAGAAACAGGGGGATCTAATTCTTGCATTCTGTGAAAATGGGTAAGATTGGCTATAATGTAACAATCTTAATCTTCACTATTGTTACTTTTTGCCCAAGCAACACTGGGCTATCTACTAGTTTTTAATAAAAGACAGTATGTAGTAATTGTTTTTATGTATAATTTATAAATTTATTTACAGCCAGTCTTCAACTTTGATATTTTTTTTGTGAGTGCCAATTATAAATTTGGAGTTTAAATTTTCAAATTCAAGCTTATTTGCATTTAAATGCAAATATGCTTGATTTCACTTGATTATTTTTAATGTTTAAGCTTTAATAGCATTTCTATGAAAAATACATTTATAATTCAGTGTTCAGTTGTTAACTATAAGCCCAATCTAGAAACATTTGTAGTTATTAGATTATCACAGGTTAAAAGAATAACATCAAATATATCTTATCACAAAGATAGGTGTATCATTAATACAGTGGAACCCCGGTTAACGAACTTAATCCGTTCCGCGACTCCGTTCGTTAACCGAATTGTTCGTTAACCGAAGCAATTTTTCCCATAGAAATTAATGCAAATGCAATTAATCCGTTCTTGTCTCCGAAATTTTTGTGATTTTATTTGTAATACACAGTAGATTTTCTTTGATGAAAATATAGGAAAACGTAGTACAGTATCTATCATTACAGCAACAAACATGTAAACTTTATTTAATAAAATAGCACTGTACATATTTTCGTTTGTTGTAGTTGGTGGCAGAAAAGTGGAGATATACGAACCTTAATGCTTAGAAGGGGAATCCCCTTCAAAAAAATAACGGGTAGCACTTCATCGGAAGATTCTTCGAGTCGAAGTCTCTTTCGGTAAGAAAGCCAACGAGTGGCTAAGCGATCTTAGTACCCTGAACACGGGGAGTTCGTTCGTGGATTCACACCTCGCTCAGACGGGCTGGCCACGTGGAGTTTTTCGGGTTTTCTCCACGTCTGTAACGCCTAAATAGGGGCCAGTTTCCCTTAAAAACACCTCCCAGAAAGCATTCCCTGTAGGCAGATCGCCCGAGTGTTGCGTTGCCATAACTTAAATAACAAACGAACTCTTTCCGTAAGAAACAAGAAATTGATCTAAAGTTGATTGTCTTACTCTTTTAATCAAAATTTTTCTCAAATCTGATAGCGCGTTGTCGTTTTCTATTGCCACTATGACTTTTTTCTTTCTTGGATGCCATATTGATTAAATATATAAATCNACGGATATAATTTGTAATCTGGAATTTTTTGCATACCTTTTTAATACATATTTAATTGCGGCTCGCAAAAAATTTCAAATTTTGAAAAATAGCTCGGACTACCAAGGAGCTTAGCCACCCTGGATATATAGCAAAACTATGCTATAGTTATCTATTATATCATATATATATATATAAGATCTATTGTGATACTACACTGTGTAAACTATTAATAATTTATTGAAAGTATTCATTTTAGTCCGTGTATTTTTCAATAGACTTGAACTACAATAGACACCAAAATAATTTACTAGATTTTTAAGCATTTTCCTGTTGTCTTACATAAATCTTGCTTTCCATATTAACTATATAATATATACAGTATATCATATATTGAAAGATATTATGTATAATATTTCAATGAAATGGTTTACATTTTCTATACAGGCTACCATATGCAACAGGGGTGGCCAACAAGTCAATCGCAAAGTCAATTTTGGTCAATTGCTCGCAATGTCTTGACTTAATGTGTTACACTTGTAACCGAACACAAGGCATGAACATAACACGCAAACACAATTGTAGTGATATCGGACCTCTGCGTTCTCCCTCAGATGCGGTTTTGTCAGTCCATGTGCAATCCATTTGCATACGGTTGTAAAAGGGGAATAAGAAATGTAGACAAAGGGTTGTAAAACCAAAAAAAAGAAAGGCAGGAAGAGGGACAGAGAGAGTAGGTTGGGACACGGTAGAGAGAGGAAGGGTGAAGTGATGGGGCCATATTCTGGTCACTGTCTCTGGTCTCTCGTCTCTCACAAGCCGGTCGCTGATTGGCTAATCATTTGAATTAGCCAATCAGCAACCGGCTTGTGAGAGACCAGAGACAGTGACCAGAATATGGCCCATGGTCTCCGAAAGTGACAATGTTGAGTTTTAATTTTTCTTCTGTTTAAAATGTAAGTATCTTTACTTCATGTTTTAAATTAAATTGTGGCTTTTATTACCTATCTAAACATAGGATGTATTTCACACCTCCCCCCTCACCACTTAGACTATGCCTACAACAACAACTTGATCTCAACACATTTTAAGGTAAAAAGTAGATCTTATGTAAACAAAAGTTGGCCACCCGATATACAACACCTAACAGTTCACTTCTTGTCTACCATATGTTGGAGACAACTTACACGTCAGAACTCCATTATTTTATTAGTATTAATCCTGTATAATTAAAATTCAAACCAACATTATTAACCTTAAATATTATCTACAGCAATATTTTGATTTTCAGCTTAAAAAGAGATTTTATAAATTATTAAGATATTGTTAATGTGGTGGATTTTAATAAACATTAATTATGATATTTTTCATCTCCATACTTTATATATTTGCAAATTAACAGTTACAAAAGTTTTAACTTAGTCCTTGTATTTCTTGATAATACATAAAAAAAATTGATATATTTCCAGTAATCAGAACAATATTTGATTTGTCATTAAAGCTAATCCAACAGTATGAATCTTCATTATTACATCATTACTTTATGCAAATGAATGAGTCACTTACATTACAAGATAAGATCTTACTACTATAAAATATTTAATAAAATCTTATTCAATTTTAATATATATCTTTCAAAATACTTTATAAAGTGACTAACATACAAATAAATAAAAAGAATATACTACTAAAAAGCAGCAGATTTTACAGAACGGTTTAAAACTATGGAAGTTTGAGAACAATATTATATACTGTAAATATCAATATAAAAGTCAAACTTCTAGTAGCACGTTTCTATATAAAATGATTAATAAATAAAGTCGCCTATTTTGGAATTTCACAAAGTATAGGAATAGAAACAAGCAGCCAACATTTAGAAGCCCTTATGTCTCTGAAAAAAACTAGAGATTTAATTGAAAGTACAAAACACATTTACAAAAAGTTAAAATTACAAGATAAATTTAGTTAGGAAAACCACAAATAAATGCAAACTCAATAATAATTACTCTGAAAGTCAAAATTATACTAGTAGCATCTTTCAATTGATTTCAGCACCTTACTTTATACACATACATAAATTAGCAAAGTAACGCAGATAAGAATAAAACACTCTTCCGAATAAAATTATACAAAAATATACTTTACGACCCAAAGACCGGTCTTCCGAGAGGAAGACAACATCGAGACAGCTTTCCCCAAAGACTGGTATTCGGCAAAAACATTTGGGGCTCTCGTATAATTTCTCCAACAAAGTTACACTTTATACTTATAAAGTGTCGAAAGGACCAGTTATTTTGTTTATTATTATATTATCCAAGGCAGATAATAGTGTGCAGTTTCTGATAAGATTTTTCAAGAAAAACTTGTTTACTTTCCTGTTTATAAAATCGGAAATAATTGAAGTATAAATATTAAATTCTTCAAAACACTGTGCATAAAATTAGTTTTACATTCTTAATTCCTCAAAAATCTTCCTGTTAATTATAATTTTCATAGTTTGTTTTAATATTCATATTAAAATAAAAGTAATTAAATTGATAATTTGGTATTTGAATGTAGAGTAAGAAAGGACACGTGGATTTCTTCACTCTCTTCCATGCGAATAAACGAGAATAGACTGCACGATGCTGGAGAGAGAAGACATTCCTTTCATTTCAAGCAAGGAATCGAATGCAAACTCGAGATATGCACAAAACATTGGAAATATATTGGTGAATTAGGCTCACCTTTACAAGCGGAGATTAAGTAGTAGCCAGAACGAGTAATTTGACTAAAAGCCAAATCGACAACTGGCCGCGTGTGTCCGCTGCAAGTTAAAGGAATCTGCCTAACGCTCGACATCTTTAAACATTCTTCGTCCTACTAGCGCCACCTCGCCGTTATTTTCCTGCATGGTTCATTCATTTTTTTTTAATTATTTTTTGTGGGATGCTCAGGACAGGTTTGCAAAACATGTGTTGAGAACTACTGGTACTGATCATAAAATGATATGTTTTAAATGCTATAGTGCAGTTTATATTAATGGAACAAAAACAACTTAGTTATAAATGACTAAATCTCATGATTCTAATTTATTTTTAATTCATTTGCCTATGCTGCTGAAATAACAATGATGAAGTCCTCCTCCTTTGCAAAAAAGTTTAAAGGGGTGATGTCAGATGTCCAAGCAGGCCAATAGCATTACACCAACCAATCCAGTAATCTAGACTATGCAGTAGCAGAGTTACAGTCACACAGCAACAATGGCCCTTTGAAGCACATGCACATGAAACAAAGTACTGATCAACATTCTATGACACATTTCATTCACATACCTATGCAAATGGTTTTTACAGAATGGTTTAAAACTATGGAAGTTTGAGAACAATATTATATACTGTAAATATCAATATAAAAGTCAAACTTCTGTCTGACAAAAATCTTCTCAAAACTAGGGGTCAACTTAGACAATAGATATAAAATGCAACCCTTACTGCAGAGTAGAACAGTGTTCCTAATAATCACTGTGCATCTTTCATCATAACTCTAGCAGGCCATCACAAATATTCCCAACTAAAATTGGTGTTTGGTGAAATTATTTCACTTAGAGGATTAACATAACAATATTTCAGTATAAACAGTCACTACATATGTTTTCAATGGTTGATATATAGCAGGGGTGGCCAACCTGCGGCTCGCGAGCCACATGCGGCTCTTTGAAGGATTATTTGTGGCTCTCGATAAATGTACCCGAGTTCCCTTTTCATTTTTGTGTTATTATATTTTAAAAAATTATTATTGTTCCGTATGTGTNAATTTCTGCACCTTTATAGATTTGACAGGCACATAGTGCTGCTTATAGTTAATCTACATTTACTAAAGCGTACATCAGACAGTGTTTATCAAATAAGTCTACTTACACGAAGTTACACTTCATGAAATGTATAAATTAAAAAGTTTCCTATAAACTTAATTAATACTAGTAACTTCGTAATTATTTTCATGGAAATTCCTGCTACAGATCCGAGCGTATCGACTGATTTTCTTTCCAGTTTTTATCTTTACTTCCCATTCTTTTATTATTATTGGGTCATCCGAAAATTTGTGAAATTTCAAACCTGACCGCTTCCAAGTGCCAAGCTTATCTTTATCAGTCAAAAATTCCTAAGAAAAATTTTGACTGTAGTCTAAATTGTAATAAGTTTTTACTTGGCGTAATTTTTTTGTTTTTTATATCTCAGATGTTTTTGTTTGGATTTACCTCGTACATTTCTTGTGAGCATTTTTTCATATTTCACTTTTTCTATTTCGTTTCCACGTAGAAAGGAATAACAATTTTCTACTCGTTGATTCCATTCCGTAAAATATTCTAGGTAGTTCCCACGAAACGATTCGTCGAAATACAGTACTTCAACAGTTCCAGTTGAGAAACTGGATCGCCCACATTTCTAGAATCAGAATGCAACAGCAGCACAAGTCTATGTAATTGCACAATTATAATTATTTAATTCAAACCATTATTATAAAAAAAATACATATTCTATAAATATATATGTTATATGTAATGTGACATGAATAATTACTATATAATGTAAATTCAAAACTAAAAGAACTGGCAACATTTAAACAAAAAAACCGAATATTTAACTTGTTTTAAATAAAGTTATAAATAAATAAATAAAAGTCATTTATTTGTAATTGATCTACGTGATTTTGTTTTATTGTGTCTTTTCCTGGTTCCAAAGAACAAACAGGTTCTTCTTTGCAGTGGCGAAGTGTCTAGAATGCTTTTGAGGCTAAACCTGCCATTCCTGATTTCAAATTAGCATAGTTCGACAATTTTATTTATGTGAACAAACCGAGGAAACTCGCAGATCATGGTTTTAATACTTTTCCGATCAAGAGACGGCTTGTGTGAGAAACGCAAAATCAACCTTCGATAGCCTTAAGTCTTGTACAGTATTTATCTCAATCATGAGCAATGAGAAAGCTAGCGTTCGGTAGCAATGAGGCTACAGTTCATTCACAGAAGAGGTTTAAGTTTGAGTATGTATCACGTTCAAACAACATATTCCAAACGAAGAGATCAAAATATATTTGTGTGATCATGTTTTTTTAAGTTTTATTTTGGTTTCGAACACCGATATTTCAGTTAAGTTTATCTGAAATTATTTAAAAATAACAAACATTTAATTCAAACTGAAATTTTAGATTTTACTTTTTAGTCTCCATTTCTTTTATTACTATATTGAAAATTTGGGTATAAATATTTATATTTGTTTCGTTTACTGAACGTTTTTCATGAGGAATCACAACTTTCAATTTTCGAATTTACCTATATTTTGTGAAATTTTCATCACAAAAATTTAATAAGTTAAATAAACTCCAAATTTTCAAAATATTTTATTGGGGATATTTAAAAACTGCAGCAACGAGTTGCGAAACTTTCCCTGCTGTTATAAAAGTTATTTCATATTATTAATCATAGTAAATAAAATTGTGAGTGCGCCATCTGTTACGAGATTTTGTTAAAAATTGTTTATTATAAAAAAAACACCTTTTTCTGTTTTTTTTGACATTTTTGAGTCCTGTCGTCTCAAAACGTGGAGAATTATAAAAACCTAGAGTCAAATTTGACATGATTCCAATACTTTCCCTTGTTATGTATGTATACATAACTGCTAGGAAAGTAAAACTAACTTCTTTATTAATGAAAAGTTACAAATCGGTAAAAGAATACTTTAAACTTCTTATACATTTCGGTCAAATAAATTGAAATTGTCTCAGATTATTTTAAAGTCAGATTTCTTTAACAGTTGTTATCCACATTCGTAAACAGTTGTCTACTTGTTCATGTATTTTCAGAAAACATTTATCTTCCGCGTATTTTAGTTGTTATAAAATCCCGAGAGTATTAAAAATGGAGTGAACAAGTAGCAAAAACGGAATATAAACAATATTTTTAAGTAGTTAAATTTTTTCATGCAGTTTCAAACGAATATTTGTCACAGACAGACGAAAAATGTAAACTTAACCAGTTCACACTAACGCGATTTCAGCGCGGAATTTAAAGTCGCGACGTCATCGCAAGCGGTTGAAGAGTGGAATAAGTCACATTTTTCTATATTGAGAAAATTTCAATTCGGCCGCGGCGCGGAATTATACCACCATTATTGTGCCAGGCATCTTTGGAATATTACACGCTTCCTCCGCAGCGAGAATTCAGAGCCTAGAGCCTATAAAGGCTCTGCATTCTCTCTGCAGAGAAGTTTGTAGAGCGGTTTTAGAGTTTGTAGTGTGAATCGGCTTTTAAAATCATGACAACAGTAGTCCTGTCCTGTGATGTCAAAATCGATGAGCGTTTTCGTGGAAACTTGTTACAATTGGCTTTGACGTGGATTTGATTAAATTTTTGTTTTCTTTTATTGACTCGTCATTAGTTCTCGATTAAAGTTAATGTACTGTGAATAGGAAAGTAAACAAAATGAAGAATCTAGACGTTCGAGAACAATTTCTCCTTTAGAATAAAAAGAAATAATGTTGCTGCTGCCTCCAGTATGATGCAATGAATTTCCTGGCTGAATAGTAAATTGCCAAACCGCGAAAACATATGGATTATATCTATTTAGGGCGTATGTGAATCAAAACTTGTAATATTAAAAGTTGAAAGCAAGCACAAATTAAAAATTATGCAAAAAGAACAAAAAAATGTAATTGAACTTAAGTTCATAGGTATCATGTTAATCTCGATGAAAATCATGTGACCTTACTACAGTACCCAGACTTCAGTTTGGCCTGCTGGTAATTTAAGATATATTTGTGGGTAAATTCCACAGCAGGCGTAACTTAAATAAGAGTAGAGTTAAAATTCTTGAAGTCGATTTATATGCTGAAATTTATAGTATGTTTATCGTTTAATTATTTCTTATTTAGATAACGCTATGAAATTTGTGATCAGCACGAATTCCTTTTGCAAACATTATTTTCACAATAAATCTCTATTCTATGTATTATACATTCTATTGATATATTTATTTTTTTTATTCCTAGATTATTTTCAATAATGCACTTGCGTTCGTGAATATATATTCACTACGTGTCACATCTAACCGCTACTAACAATCTTCAAATGGGGAAGAAAATACAAATCAACTTTTTATGTGAAATATTTATGAACAAATATTAGAACACTAAAATTAGTAAAGACAAGTCGCAAAAAATTATTTTTCTGGAAAAGTTCCATAAACACTTCAACATTTAATGGAAAATTTGAACTATCAATCGAATTAAAACATTTTATTCTCAAATTGCAAGCGATTTTGATTAGACAAAACTGTCATCTACAGTTTTTTTAGGAAGGTCGTTTACACAAGTGTTACAGCCATAATAGACTTCTTATTCTGCATCTTTGGTAAACACGATGAAGCAGAAACGTTTAAGGCCTTTAATTATCGGTTAAGAAGAGATTACTATTTCTTCTTCGATTGTGACCCGGGCAATATTCCGCGTATTCTTCCCAAGAACAGCCCATAGGTTTTTCGCAACATTCTTCTATAATACCACTGGCCTGACGTTTCTGTTTCTGCCTCCTACTTCTCTTCTTCGTGCCAAAACCGTATACTAAATCTATGGGTAGATATTGGTCTGTAACGATTATACAAGTGACGTTAGTTTACGATAAAAATGGGATAAGAAAACGTCTAAGATTTACCTGGTTTCTCGAAAGCTCGAAGCATCGGATTCTTTTTCTCTACTCTATAAATATCTTTTTCGCAAGCCAATTTGATATGGCTAGGTATTTGATGATAGCATCTTCGATACTTCTCGTCGTGCCAGTGATTTTTCCATTCTTCGAAGCTTCTATCGTTTAAAACAACACAAGATTATTTTCAAGGACCTTCGAAATCATTAAAAAGAAGCCGTAAAATTTGCATTTATCTTGATAAATTTATAAAATTAGAAATGTTTATATTTAACTGGAATTTGATTTATTTTCAAAAATATTACCTTGTTTCAAATAAGGCGGTTTTATATTCTTGTTGAACATCGGCCGGAATTGTGCACTGAAATAACCACATAAACCACCAGATCAAAACTATCCACTCTCTATTTTCCATTTGAAAATATTTTAGGATAGAATGTCTAAAAAATAAAAAAGAAACTTTAATATTTTAAATTTTATTTTCTCTCAGACTAAATGATTTTGTTAATTGATAAAACCTGTTAATTGCGCTGTGCACAGGCGTCCCTCAGTATCCGCGGATGCTCAAGTCCCTTAAATAAAATGGTGCAGTATTTGCATGTAACCTATGCACTCTCGTACATTTTAAATAATCTCTGTCACTTATAATACTTAATATAACGCAAATGCTAGGCAAACATTTAATACTTGTTTTATTCTATTTCCTTGACATTATTTCAGGAAATAATGACAAGGAGAAAGTCCATACATGTCAGTAAAAATACAACAATCTTAAGCATGCACAGTACTCGTCAGTAACAATGGAACATTTTATTTGAGACTTCCAGATTGCTTTAATTTTGCTTGTATTTTAAATTATGATGATGTAATTTTGCATTTTAGAACTTAGTTTTTTCCGAAAGTTTCGATTCGCGATTAGTTAAATCCGCGGATAATGAGGGTCGGCCGTAATTAATATATCGAGCGAGAAATGAATTGTTCAATCACATTATATATCGTTCACAAAATTACACAAATATTCAATATTTTTTTCCTTCATTACTACGTAAGTTTATTTCAGTGGCATATCCAAGATTTTGAGAATATGGGTGCTGCTCAAGGCAGATTTAGAGTGGTACCAAGGCACATGCCCATCCATTACCTTAGAAATACCTTTATCTTTTTTCTACATCATTCTTTATTAGCTTTTTAAAATACTTAAATGACAGGTAGAAAATGTATAATTTATAATGAAGCTATCAATTCAAAATCATCAATTAAACTACGCAAATTATAGTATGATTTATACTCTGTTATACTCATCATGATCAATACATTTTTTATTTTCACCAGAAATGATCGAAATTGCAGTCATTTAGAATTATTCATGTGTATGTACACAGTCTGTACTCCATAATTTGATATTTTTCACATATGCTTTATTATATTTATTTTTATTTTAAAGTAACAAAACCGAGTGCTTTGGTATTAATGGTATTAAGGTGATGTTTTCAGCACTATAATTACCATCTTAGATGTCCCTGGCTTATTTATTCAAATATATATCCAAATAAATGGTGAAATTATAACGTTCAATAATAGTCCTTATATCAAACCAAATTATTCAATGGATAGGAATATTTTAAACGTATTATTTCAAATATTTGGAATAGAAAATACACAAATTACTGGTAGTAAATGTTTTTCTGTATAAAACACATTCGAAAAATCATGGCCTACATTCATTCAACCTTTCAATTTTTCGAGCTTACTCAAAACCATTAATAGTATCAACAATTACAATCATTTAAAAATTTATACATTAATTACACCTTGATATTTAAACGTATATATTCAAAATTATTGAAGTTAAAGCTGTATGTTAAAAACATCCAAGGTTGGAATATTTTCAATCTGGAACGTGTACTGTAAAAATAGATTTAATCAATCAAATATACATGTCATGTTTAACAGGATTCAAAATAGAATAGGCAAAGACTTCGAAGAATCGCTTGGGTCTTGGATATCTTAAATCGCTTAAGTAGGAGAAAACTACCAGTTAATTAAAATGCCACTTTTATGTAAATTAAGCGCAAACTAAACTTTTCCATCGAAAATAAGAGATTAGCGTATTTATCCAATCGATTCTGTCGTTGTCATGCTAATTTCCAAACCTGAATGGAAACAATACATCAGAAATGGTGAAAAGAGCTTACATACTACAAAGCGGAATAAATTTTCGTAGAATAAATGAAAAAAGTGCTGAAAATAGCAGCTTTTATATTTCGGATTAACTCTTCCAGTAGTTACCTTTATCAAAGGTCGTGCCATTGATTTTGCTGTTACTATTGAAACTGTTTAGCATTTGAATTATCTATTCGATTCGGTGATAAATACGGCAACCTATCTCAAAACCGATTTTTTCTATATTAAATTCTATTACAATCAGAAGACCTATCTAACGCGGATACGGAAGAAGTTTGAGTACGAAGAACGTAACCTGAATTAAGCAAAAATTAAGATTTCCCTTTTAGGTAGCAAGTAGCCTAAAATTGCCAACAAGGCTAACGGTTCCAAGAAACGAAGGTTACATGACAAGAGAACATATTAACATTGTTAACGCCTTGTTAGGAATTACAGACGTTCAAGTTAATGACTGATTATAGTAGTGATTTTCAAAGTATGGCTTCGTGATCGCACATTTTGAGAAAATGGTAGTCAATGTTATTCTATGCTATTAATCAGAGAAAAAGCACATTTTTTTACATCTAGTGTAGCCATCAGATCGGTTTTTACTCGGAAAAGCTGGTTTTTAAATTCATGGTCCGGATTAATTACTAATTTGTCCGGTTTTCGTAGAAATTGTGAAAGTATGATGAAACAAAACACATTTATAAAAATATTTGCGAGTATTTTATTTTAACGATTAAAGACTAACTTCACACTCCCATCCAAACTTATCCCTAGGCTAACAGTGACAAAAAATGTTCTAACTTGCAAATCTCTCTAGCAAATATTAGGTTTGTTAGGGACTTGTGTTGAAACAACCTATTGTAAAGCGAATGCGACAGTTTCATATTCAATTTTATAACTTCTATTTTAATTATTTAATATGACAACTGAAGAAATTGACAACCCAAAAAAAAGGAAGCGAACTTATAAATTTAATAAATATTGGCTGAGACAAAACGAATTTCAAAAATGGGTACCACCTGTTTGAGACAGTGTTATCACCTTTTCAAAATTACTGATTCGGACAGGGTCAACAATTTTGAAAATGTGGCAACATGTTCACATCACACATCCCTTACGTTAGGTTACTGGATAGATTGTGCGCTAAAATCGTGTGTATCGTCATCTAAAATGAGATGTATTGTATGTACAGGATAAGCGAATGGAAAGAGTTCAGATGAACTGAGAACTACTTAAGGTTATCGATCCGCTAATCAAAAGGAATAGTTCTCAATTCGTACATTTGAATACTCCTGTCTTTAGTCGTAATCACTAGACTAAACCTACGTATGAGAACGATTTTAGTGTAAAAGTGCGGCTTCTGTTTACACGAGTGTTACTATATCAGTTTAATTTCTCGATTTATGTGAAAACAATGAAATTAAAAAACAATCGTTAAATTCTGAAGATTGATAGATTTACACTCGAGTCTTACTTGTTAATCAAATTTGGACCAAACTAATTTAGTATTCAGTTTGTAATCTAAATTTCGACTTAAATTTGTATTCCAGTTTGAAGTAGTTCATTTTAAAATACAAATAGTTAATAGAGTAATCAACGTTCAAACTATAAATATACCAGAAAAAGCTTTATATTTAATTCCATAAGCCAGGAGTGTGTCATCAATAATAAATATTCAGAAATTTTTTAAGAGCTTAAGGACAGGCAAATGAGCTTAATTATTATAGTCTTTAATAATTATTGAACGAGGTAACAGGAAGGAGAATGCTAACATTAAATAATTTAATGTAAATCTATACTATAGAAATGAGGATTCCGCCCATTACGTTAACAAATCATAAGTTATAATTTTAAAATTGTAGTAGACAGGAAACCCCGCAGGGTCGTCCGGAGAAGGGAGCTTGAGGACGTTTCTCCGGATGAGGAGAAAACAGAGGTATTTAACATTAATTTATTGGGGGAGGAACTGTATTTTTTCCTAACAAATTAATCTTTAAGATTACAATTTATTAATACAGAAACAAATCTACCGTAATTCATTTGTCCACACAAAATAGAGCAAAAAGGACCCCTTATACCAGACCCCCCCATACAAAGCTTTCAGCGGCACCGTGTAGATTTAATTCTAAATATTTATTAACAATTTCCGTTTAGTTACAAATAGAAAACGTTTAAAAAGCAAAATATCAGATAATTATATCCTAATATATTCGTTTGATTCTCGCAGAAAAGTAGTCTTAAGTAAATAAATAGTATGTTAGAATATTTTACGTAAGATTGAATGAATTCTATAAATAAACATCTCCAAACCCGATATCCAATATAGTAAGACACCAACCGAATGCCATAAATGAATTCTGTTTGGATTTATGATTAAACTTATCAATTTTTTTAAAAATTTATTCTCTTTCAAAGTTACATGTTACCGGTTAGTTTATCTGTTAATGACTAACATGAATCCAAGAATTTCAATTTGTCCCCACCAAAGCCAAGGACTTTGTTTAGAATTTTTAAGTACTGTAGAATAGACTTTATACATTCGCCATTTAAAATAAATAATTTCTTTATTACATATTAACATTATGCTAGAAATTTAGTATTGACATAAATTTCATGATAAAACTCACTTTCAACGTAATATAATATATTCCTCAATGTTAAAAATACAATTATTATACTTACTTTCAATTCATCATGGAAAAAATTGAATAAAACAGTACATTTATATGTTATATTGTAATCTCATTCACACACAATATACTGTCCTATACATAAATTAACGAGTGATACAGTAAAGAGAACTTTTTCGTGGCAATATTTCAAGATCCCCCGTAAAATTTATCGATTTTAAATAATAATTGTCAAATTAAAAAATGAAGGATTATCACAAACGTCTGATAGAAACTTACCAGTGGTTGATAGGAGAGCATGCAATCGACCGCGCTGTCAATTTCCAAACACCTTTCATTTATAACATTTTCTTCAACTTGACAGAAATCAAAAGGGGGAAAAACGTCATAGGATTTTGTCCAATCGCTATCGACATAATGACGTAGGCGTGATGTAGTAATTGGTTAGATAGAAATGTTTAGCTGAAAGTATAGGTCGTTTCTCCGCTTAACTTTGTTTTCAGATAAAGAAAAAATGATTGAGTGCGAGACATTCGGAAGCGCAGCACTTAACCAAATGTAGAACGGAAACTAAGGATATTCGGTTCGAAAAAAAGTGCTGAAATTAGAATAAGTTCAGGAAAAAATTACTTACTCTCACCTAAAACTTTACTGATCAAGCATTGTTTTTTCACAATTCTATATAAAATAAAATGAAAGAAAAATGAATGAGCACTACATAGGGAAAAAAATTGATTATTATTTATAATAATATATACAGGAATATAAAAATGAATTTATAATAAATGCATTCAAAGACAGAAAACAAAATTGTTGACTTATACATTCAAAACTTTATTATTATTACTTTTCTTTTCATACTAACTGTAAACACCTACAATTTTAAATAAACCAACAAGAAGTAAAAATACTTTGTAATATACTTTTTTAAAAGTCTATAATTTTTTTTTTATTTTAAATCATGCATTATTTTTTTTTAAATTAGAAACATTTGACCATGAAAATTTTGGTTTAAATTCATTCTCTCACTAATGAAATTAACTGTCCAGTGTGGTATAATTTTTAATTTCATTTGAAGAAAATATTCCACCAAAAATATATGCTTGGCAAATAATATCCTTCCAAGGAAAATATATTTTTAATATCTTGTTTGATATTTCAGGCTTGTCCCTTGATGGAAAAAATACCTGAAAAGGAAAAACTGTTTTAAAAAGAAACTAATTTAAAGAATAAAAATTTATAAATGTTTAAGATTTTGAAATCAAAGAAAACTTTTCTTGCATCTCACTCACACACCTTAACTTTACACCTGACAAAACAGCAAATAAAGCTTATGTTTACTCTTAAGAAAGATTACTTCACCAGTATCAGAGCATATATATTATATCAAGGGTGGGCAACCTTTTTATACCATGGGCCAGAATAAATTTTACGTTTTTTCCGCGGGCCATAGTAGTTAATTAACACCTTGTGACCTGTAAATTTTTAGTCTGCAAATATGAAATAAATAAATAAATAAAAAGAAATTAATTACTACAGTCGACCCCCCTTATAGCACTGTTGATTATTCCGTTTTATATGAATTCCATGTTGTATAAGTCACTTAGATTTTACAAATGCGTGTGTTGGGCTGTGAACGGCTCACCTATTTGTAAAATCTAAGTGACTTTAAACACAATAAAAACAGCACTATGTAGTTGGATACGACAGACATTACATTTTCTAATTGCATAGCTTTTGCACATAGATTTTCTTGATGGATGATGCGATGAGATANCCACCAAAAATATATGCTTGGCAAATAATATCCTTCCAAGGAAAATATATTTTTAATATCTTGTTTGATATTTCAGGCTTGTCCCTTGATGGAAAAAATATCTGAAAAGGAAAAACTGTTTTAAAAAGAAACTAATTTAAAGAATAAAAATTTATAAATGTTTAAGATTTTGAAATCAAAGAAAACTTTTCTTGCATCTCACTCACACACCTTAACTTTACACCTGACAAAACAGCAAATAAAGCTTATGTTTACTCTTAAGAAAGATTACTTCACCAGTATCAGAGCATATATATTATATCAAGGGTGGGCAACCTTTTTATAACATGGGCCAGAATAAATTTTACGTTTTTTCCGCGGGCCATAGTAGTTAATTAACACCTTGTGACCTGTAAATTTTTAGTCTGCAAATATGAAATAAATAAATAAATAAAAAGAAATTAATTACTACAGTCGACCCCCCCTTATAGCACTGTTGATTATTCCGTTTTATATGAATTCCATGTTGTATAAGTCACTTAGATTTTACAAATGCGTGTGTTGGGCTGTGAACGGCTCACCTATTTGTAAAATCTAAGTGACTTTAAACACAATAAAAACAGCACTATGTAGTTGGATACGACAGACATTACATTTTCTAATTGCATAGCTTTTGCACATAGATTTTCTTGATGGATGATGCGATGAGATAAATAATTTAGAAAAATTCTGTTCTCCCATTTTTTGTTTGAATAAGGAAATGACTCCCTTATTTTTTCCTGTCATTGCTGCCACAACACTTCATAAAATAATATTCAATTTACACTAGACGAATTACATCGAAAAATATTTATTTATAATTTCTTTTAAACATTTCGCGGGCCGGATAGAAACTTTTCGCGGGCCGTAGCTGGCACGCGGGCCGGGGGTTGCCCACCGTTGTATTATATTACTATACCTTCTCATTTATTACAAAACTTATTTTTGTAAGAACTGATTTTAATTTGGAATTGCTAAATAAGTTAAGCTAGATTCATTTTAAACTTTTGATGATTATTCTTTTATACAGTGTTATAACTATTTTTTGATAGCATTTGCACTTAAAGATTATAAATAAATATTCAATTTAAATATCATATATAGGTAGTCCTTAGGATGTAACTTCACAACCTGAATCTTTACTCGTTTTACACACCTTAGTCTGACAAAATTAAAGTTTATATGTAGTATATAAATATTTTTTGGTTTCAAATTCCTCTAACTTCATTTTGGCAAATACATTTAACAATTGTGTGAAGTTTTCCTACTTTTCAGGAAGATTACTGTAACAAAATTATCTGAGATCACTTATTAGCTGTAATTTCAAATATCTTTTGAGACTTTCAATCTTATTGCTAATAAGTGATTTATTTCTTCTCACACTATTAAACAATTCTTAAATTTTATTTTCTAGAATAATCACTGATAAATTGTCTGTCTATTTCTTATATGCAAAACTTTAAGGTTTGGTTAATTTGTTTTAATTCTGATGAATAGTTACCATTAATCTAAATACATCATCTCATAATAAGTTCTTAGCATTTCATTATATTGGATAGGCCTCAATTAATAACATTACTAGTAATTTATTCCACTTCTTTGCTATTTAACCATTACATTTGAAATTAATTCAATAATCCAAAAATTTATTTCTCAAATGCATTTGTGACCTAAAAATTTTTAGATACTGCATTGGATATGGTAAAAATTATTAGGAACAAGCACAGACACACACATTTTGACTACACAAAACAGCTTTATTAACATAAAGGAGACATAGGAAGTTTTAATACAAACATACAAAATAAAATTTTACAACATACAATCAATAAGGAACAACATAAATGCAAAGAAAAGTTACAATAAACAAAGGAAGCTGGACATTTCATCAAATTACAAATACTCCTACTTTTTGTTACATTATATTCATAACTTTTCAAACGTTGGTACAAAAATATTTCAATTTTAAAATGTTCATTTTAGAACTGTCAGAATTTTAGAAAGGATTCAATAAATTTATTATTTTTACTAATATCACTTCTCAATCTTGACTTTTACAAATTAAATTCACTTGATTATACTTCTCAAAATTACAAAACTAGACATTTTAGATTTTCAGTGTTTATAACAACTGAAATGATTACAGTCCGTCCTCAATATAATGTTCTAGAGGGAAAAGTTTGATCTTAATATTGAATCAAAATGCCTGTTCTCTTTAAAAAGGTAGTATAAGCATGTTTGAATTCTTAGAATATTCTGTATTGTACAGCATGGGCTTAAAGCTAGTTTTATTCCAAGTCTAATCTGATATACTGGAAACCATTATATCAAAAATGGACTGAATATAGTTATAGATACACAAAATTCGTCATAAAATAATGTTTAAAAATAAATTTAAATGCTTAATGTTAAAATCTTAAATTTTGCAAAAATTTAAGATCTTAATACTTCATAATTTTTCTCAATTTGAGTTTTATAAAACAACATGCTATAATTTGGATGCTACACTGCATACTAATCACAATTTTTTTTAAATTTTATAATGAGTCTCGCTGTTTATAAATATCTAATTACAAATCTGTTCAAGTATCTTGTACAGTATCTTACAAACATTGATGATTGATGGTCATTGATGACACTGACATCATTGAAACAAAGAAACTGGTAGTAACAAAATTGAAAATTTGTCACAAGTAGCAGATTATACAAATATATAAATATTTTAATTGTTTTGTACTCTTCAAGTCTAGCAAATGTGCTTTTAAATGAGATCACATTAAATATAATGCAAAACAATTATTCAGAAATATAAGACAATTACAGTAAATGTTTTTAAACAAACTATTTTATGTTTTAATAAAATATCTGCAATACTCCTGACATTAGTTTAAAATGTTTCTTCATTCATTTTTTTCCTTAAATTTGAGTTTAGAATGTGTGTGCAGAAAACTCAAATTCATATAATTGCCACAACTTTGTGATGAAATCAAAGTAAAAACAAAACCAAAATAATGTAAAGAAAAGTAAATAAAACTTACTTTCAGTTTTTCTTAAAAATCTAATTTAATTGCTGACTGTACACCAAAAGTCGAAGCTATATTAAATGAAGATTTGTTTTCATCTGAAAACATTTTCACTCGTTCAAGCTCTGCAACTTCACAGATATCTTGAAGAGAAGCATGCCGTGTAAGTTTTGATTTTGCTTCTCTTTTTGAAGTACTGGCATGGGAATTTTCTGAATCATCTGTTATTTAAAAAAAATTCATTTTTCATCTCACTTTCTATTTATAAATATAAAATTGGTCAATATTTTATAGTTTTTGTAAATTATTGTGTTAATTATTTCCTGAGAAGTATGCAGTGTACACCAATTGATAGAGTAACAGTCCAAGTTTCATATCCCATCTGCATTCAAACATCTTTGTTCTCTCTAGGAAGAATCATAAACAAAAATGGTGACACTGCAACAGAGAAGGCACTTTGTTCTTAGTCCATAAAGACGGAATCAGTCATCATTATGTAACAAAGTTTACATGAACTGCAAACCACGCAGTTATCATTGTTCAAACGTCCACATTTTGCACAATGATAACTGATTCCAGCTGAACTGCAGAACACAAAACACATCTGTTGCAAAGTTAGTCATTTTTGTTTATGACACTTCCTACAGATAGCAGACAAAGGCATTTGTATGCAGATGGTAGATGAAACTGACAGTTACTCTATCAATTGGTGTACATTGCATATTTCTCAGATAATAATTAATATAATTACAGTAATTTAAAATGGTAGCATTCTTTTGAAAAATCCTGTACATTCTTATCAATTGCAATTGTCAAAATATTTGAATGTATATATTATTCTAAGAGAATCTAAATTATTTTAGTGATTTTATTGATTTGCTTGTCAAAACTGGCTATAAAAAATATTAATATAAAACAGATAATTAAGTTACTAATTTAATTTTAAGATACTGTACAAGCACACTAGAATTACAGGCAAACAATTATATTGTGTTGATTGGAAAGTTCATAGCGATTTTTGATAGCCAACAGTTGAGACAGACAAAAATTATTAGAATTGTATAAACCAATGAAGATTACGAAAAATGACCTTGAGACACATCCTTTACAAAAACACCATTAAGATTATTCAAATATTGTTTAATTCGTCTTGTGAAAATGGATACAAACAATGTGCATTTTTGACAATTGTTTCTTTTCTTCTATCGTAAAAGCAAAAATGCTGTACAAACAGCGAAAGAAATGTGTGATGTTTGTGATGGGAGTGCTGTAGCAAAATCAACTGTTTGAAAGTGGTTTGCTAAATTTAAAGCAAGTAATTTCAGCCTTGAAGATACTCCCCACTCAGGAAGACCTCTCATTATTGAAGAGAACCAGATCAAAACATTATTGGATAAAAACCCTTGTTACACAACTCGAGAGATTGCAGATACAGTGAAGTCATTGAACAGTACTGTATTTCAACATCTAAAGAAGCTTGGATACGTGAATCATACGACATTTGTATTCCTCACAAATTAATGGAAATAACTTACTGGATTGCATCTCCATTTGTGATTCTCTTAAAAATGAATGAAAATGAACCTTTTCTGGAGCATTTAGTGACAGGTGACAAAAAGTGGATAATTTATAACATCAACTGAAAACAATTATGGGGTAAGAAAAATGAACCATCATTAAAAACTCCAAAAGCCAGTCTTCATCCAAAAAACATCATGCTTACCATCTGATGGGATTGAGAAGGAATCCTGTTCTACAAGCTGCTTCCACAGAATCAAACAATTGATTTTAATAAGTATTGTTCCCAACTGGATAAACTGAGCATGACAAAGAAGAACATCTGGAACTGGCCAATAGAAAAGGCATTGTATTTCATCAAGATAATGCCAGACTGCACACATCCTTATGAGCATGCCAAAAATTATTGGAACTAGGTTGGGATGTTTTACCCCACCACCCCATACTCACTAAACCTTGCCTCATCGGATTACCATTTGTTCTGTTTTCTGCAGAATTCCCTTTAGGATAAAAACACTGATTCTTTGGAAGTTTGCAAAAACCACATGGAACAGTTTTTCATACGAAAAACTAAAGTTCTATGAAAAGGGTATCAAGAAGCTTCATAGATGGCAACACATCATTAAAAACAATGACACATATATGATAGAATAAGAGTATATTTTTAGTTTTAAAACAGTTTTTTTTTTATATTTCTTTTAAAAATCACTATGAACTTTCCAAACAAACCAATTCAAATGGATCAGCCAGCATTAAAAAGAGATAATGATGTCATTTATGAAAAACCATGAGAGCCAAGAGCAGATTTAAACTTAAACCCCCACAGCATTAATACTATATTTTAATGTTAGTTAAATGACTGTATAATGTATTACTTTTTAAGTTTCAATGAAGAGAAATGCACTGTTAGTGATTCCTTTATTCTTCTGAAATAGAACCAATGCATGACCTAATGCAATGACGTAAATAATAAAATCATTGCATTAGGTCATGCATTGGTTTTGTCCTCTAAGAAGAATAAATAAAAGCAGGCTATAGTTCACTATTAAACAACAACTAATGTCATCAATTAATTAATTTTAGTAATATAATATATACAAATTTAGTTTTAAGGTATTGACTGTTTATTTAACATGGTAATTATTCTAAATTACTTTATATTGTCCTATGTTTTGAGGAAATAATATAGATTATGAATAATTGATTCTCTATTGTTATTTGTTTATCATGTAGGTAAAATGTCAATCAATCAAACAGCTAAAAGTTACAGGGTTATTTTTATCGTATATAACATATGCAGTTTGCTTATTTAATTTAGCAATAAAAAGTAGTGTTTTGTCATTTTGTAATAAATTTAATAGATTAGAAGTAATTGATCAATAATTTTGAACATCTGAAAGGGAAAATTGGCTCAGAGGAGGAGAAAAATCTATAGCCACCTGCAACATTTTAGTAAAATTAAGATGGCAGTACCACTTTTAATGTCACATTAAACAAAAATAATTAGAAATGAATATTAATAATATCCTGATTAATAAACTGTCTATACTACAATTATTATACATAACTAAAGTCTATTTTGGAATTTAGTTATGTAAATAAATAATTATAATGATTTAAACAATCATCTTTCTGCTATCCAGTTAACTGATTAACTTGTCATTAAATTACAATTTATTAACCACCATTATCTTCCTTAAACTGCAGAATTAAGTTCACATTCAGGTAAGTAATAAAAATTTGGTTCAGAGTTTACTTAATTACAGTGAAGTGTCCAAAGTCTGGATATTTGGCTGTCAAAAATGGATATTAACTAAGGATGCACCGATAAGCAAAATGGCCGATTACAGATTAATCGGCCGATTAGTGTTAATAATTTATTGCATTAATAGTGTGAGATCCTGGAGTTAATTATACAGTTAATTATAATGTGGAAAAAACCCATTTTTCTCCACCTGGTATTTCCATCTCCCTTGGGTCAGGTAAACAAGAGACGATCGAATATCCTCACAAAATCAACAATCTCTTCCTTTGTTTCTAAAATAAATCTCAACACTTAATTGTTGACGCATGGAAACTTCGACATTGTTTAAAAAGCTGAAGTGTTTCTGTGTTTAACAGAAACAAAATATATTTCTTTAACCGCTGATATTTGGACAGCAACTACAAACAATTCTCCTTTTTTAAGTGTAACAGCCCACTGGTTGAAGGATGATTTTCAGCAGGAAAGAGCTGTTTTGCAAATTGTTTCCTTTGAAGGTTCCCACACAGCTACACGAATCAGTGAACAGTTAAAAATTGTTCTTGAACAGTATAAGTTGACAAGTGATAAGATATTCTTAGTACTAAGAGATTCTGCAGCAAATCTGGTAGCTGGAATTAGGAATTGCAACTTAGAAGCATTATCATGCTTTATACATACGCTGCAGCTGACACTAAACGAATGCATATTTTCTAAACAAGATGTGAAAACTATAATCACAGTTAATAGAAATATTGTCACACATTTTAATCATTCTGCTGTAGCTGTAATCAAATTGGAAGATTTGCAAGAAAAGTTAGGTTTGCAGAAACACAAATTAATTCAAGATGTTCCTACTCGCTGGAATTCTACATACTACATGTTGGAACAGCAAAAGGCCCTTGTCACATATGCTATAGATAATAAAATTCCTACGTTGAGCCCATATCAGTGGTCTCTCGTTGAAAAAATTGTTCTACTTGTAAAACCATTCAAAGAAATTACTGTGGAAAGCCAGCAAACGAGAAGCCACTTCATCTTCAATAATTCCCACAATAGAGACTCTGAAATTATTCTTATCAAAAGCAAAGATCAGTAGTTCCTTTAGTGGCATTAATACCAAAACAGAAGTAGTAGAAAATCCAATAAAAAAAAGATTTTCAGCATATATAGAAAACAAGTCTTTATGCTTGTCATTTTTATTAGATTCAAAATGAAATTTCAAAAAGATAGAGGAAATCAATAAGAATTAAATTCTGAAGTTTCTACTTCTGGAGGTGATCAAGATGGAGGTGAATCTCTAAGTTTTTTTGATTTATTTGATGAATTAGCTTCTGATAAACGAAAGAATGAAGAATAGCATGTTTTTAACCTATTCAATACTCTCTATTTTATTTAAAGTTTAAACTTTACATTATATGTTATGTTATACTTATAATATGTATCAATAAAAGGAATAATTTCAATTGTAAAATTTTTTTAATATTCAGTTTGTCATGTAATAAATAATAAATATATAACAGAAATTTATTAGTTTTTATTACTAACATTGTATGTAACATTCTAACAAAAATACCAAAATGTAAAATTGGCAGATTATTGAAACTGATTAATCGGGGAAATGGCCGATACCAATTAATCGGCGAAGTAGCCGATACGGCCGATTACTTACAGATTAATCGATGCATCCTTAATATTAACCTTTTCAACAACAACTTTGTTGTTTATGTTCTAACTTTCATTCAAAATTCTTAATTTTTTAATTTTAAAATTACAATCATATATTTTGTTTAAAATATAATAATTCTGCAAATTATATTTTGAATGTTTGTAAGTATTCTTACATTCCTTGAAAAATAATGCTTGAACTTATAATACCTAAAGTTAAAGTGTATTCAGCATTTCAACTACTTAAAATGCTAATTTACATGTATATTTGAAAATCAGGGCAATCTTAAATTTGATTTAAACAAGTATTAATAATATTAAGGCTTATATATAAAAGAAAAGTTTTCATAATAAACAGATCTTGTTAACATTTAATTCTATAATGTATAGATTGTATTTCTAATTTTATTTACTATGGGTAATACATTTTCTACTGAAATTTCTATCATCATCCTACTGAAAAAGTCAACATAGCACTTAATTTAAGCTACATATTGTTGGTTCTTAAATTATAAGAAAAGTGTCTGATGATCAGATGAGGTTAAGTTGCAAAGATGTCTTCATTTATAACAGTAATATAAAAATTAAAACCAAGCTTTTAAAAAAATAGAAATTTAACACAATATATAATTAATATATTGTGTTAAATTTCTATTTTTTTAAAAGCTTAGTTTTAATCTTTAAATTTTAAAATAATAGCATGCTATTTTTTTAAAAGCTTAGTTTTTTAATAAAACTAGCTTTATATGTATAGCTAGTTTTATATTTCATTTCTGTTATTTTACATTGTAAAAATTATATTTTAACTAAATTCAACATTTGACAATAAAAAAAAAATGCAATTAATCTAGCAACCTTTTTAACACAGATAATATTCTGTAAAAATTTTTTAAAATCTTTAATAAAATTTGTAATTATTTGGAATGTTAAGTCAAAATATAGTAAGATTTGTCACCACAATTTTTTGATATTATAATGAAACTGATACTTTTCAGTCTCTTAATAATAATGGTTTTTGATAAATTTAATCAGATACTAAGTTTCATCCCATGTTCATGAAGCATCAGTCAATAACAATATAAAAAAATTTGTATAACTTCAATTCTGTTTTTAGAATTCTCATTAATTAAAAAATGTAAAATTTATTGATCATGTAGCTCAATACTTAAAAGTAATTATTCTAAAGCTTATGGACAATTATTTTTATTTCAATACACAAAATACAAATCAAGAATCACAATCAACAGTTCTACAAATACATTTATCACATTCAATGTTTACTCACTTTGAACAGAACTTGATGAACTATTTTCATTCATAAATGACTGTAGTGACAAAAAATTCTCACATTCTATACCTAAAAAAGTAGAGGGGGAAAAAGTATTCTATTAGGATAATGGATAAATTTCACAATGATAGCATGCTTTAATACATTTTAAAAATAAATTATATTAATAAAGTAACTATTATATACACAGTGAGGATATATTCTAGTCTCATTTAATAAGATGAACTATTTCAAAACAACAATTTAGTAACAAAATCTTGTCATATGCAGAAATTAAGAAGCGTTCCATGTCAATTGACATTCAACCTTATTTTAAACACTTATTTAATTTGCTTTGTATTATGTCCTCTTGCAACTGAAATTCATTCACTTCTAATTAAGATAGAAGACAAACTGATGGCATACCTAAATATGAAGACAATGCATTTTATTGATGTTTGGGGAGTGGCCCTGGCTCCACCTCACCACCCTTCAACCCAATCTCAAAAAAACATGACCAATAAAAAAAAATGTTTTTTTCAATTTTTAAAAATGAAAATTATTTATCAATATATTAAATATATATTATTTTACATTATATTAAAATTAATTAATTAAACTATTAATGTTAATAATTTAACCACAATTACAGATGAAGCTAAAATCAGCAATATAGGCCAGATATAATCATTAACTTTTATAATAAAAGTGAACAATTTCTAATTTATTGTATCATAGCTTGGCATATAAAAATTCAAATACATTATCAACTAGTAATTGCTCTGCAATCAATGGGTTGAATACTACCATTTATGTTAATGCTGAGTAAAAAATGATTTATGATTTTATACAAATAAATATTAATACTATATTCATATAAGTTTCATGACAAAGAAAAAAATAAATAAAAATGTCTTCCATAATCATCATTTCACTAAGCCAACATTTTAAATTTCTGAAGTTCACTATAGAAAATATTTAAATTCCTATTATCTCTGATAGTCCAGTCACTTTAGGTTTTTTCTGCAAAAAAATTTTAAGCAAAACCAAATTTTTGTATATTGCTTTATTTAGTCATACTAAATAAAATGTCAAAAGTTTCCAGCATTCTGCAGTGCACTTAATATTTTACAGTGCTAAAAAGATGTTTACAGAAGGTTTGAAATGAGTTTTTTGTTAATATCTGTTGCTATTGATTCTACAGCAATGAAAGTGATATACAAACAAGAAGATGAGAAAATTCTCTACAGAAATGATCCTTATAAATTTTTTGATACAAGTGATAGTTTCCGCTCAATCTGAAGTTGAAACTATTGGGTTGATGCAAAAGTTCATCCCAGGTTTTTGAAGAAAAAATTGAAGAAAAATTTTATTTACTAAAAATTGCATTTAATCAATATAGTATGTGCCATTCTGTTCAATGACTTTTCTCTATTTCTCCAGTAGCTGCATAAGTCCATGCTCGTAGAAGTCTTCCAAGAAAGTAAAGTTTTTACCATCTAAGCTATTTTGAAGCAATCTAAAAAAATGGTAGCCAGAGGGCACAAGGTCAGGAGAGTATGGTGGATGGACATCCCAATCAAGTTGTAAAAGTTTTTGTCAAGTGGCTACAAACACGTGTGGTCTAGCATTGTCTTGATGGAACACAATGCATTTTTGTTGGCTAATTCAGGTCGCTTCTGGTCAATTGCTCGCTTTAATTCACTTAGTTGTAAACAGTATTTCTCCAAATTAATGGTCTGATTTTCAGGTAACAGCTCATAATAAATGATTCCCTTCCAGTCCCACAAATGCATAGCATAACCTTCTTCAGATGTAAACTGGCTTTTGAACTGATTGAAGGGGCATCTTTTACGCTTAACATTATTATACACAATCCATTTTTCATCACCTGTAACCATCCACTTTAAAAATGGATCAATTTCATTGTGTTTCAATAGAGAATCGCAAGCAGAAATTTGGTATATCAAATTTTTCTCCATTAACTTATGCAGCACCCATACAGACCTTGCTAACTATTCTAATTGATGTAATCATCTTGACACTGTTGACTGGTTGATTCCAAGAATTTCTCCGATAGAGTTATTTTATGTCAATCACTTTCAATTAGCCTCAACCTCGATGCATCATGTTCAGAAAAATGTGGTGCATCACTAAGATTAAAATTGTTTTCACAAAACTTTATGAACCACTCACGGCACACGGAATCATCAATGGCACCCTCATCGTATATATTTCCTTTTGCATCTGTGAAGCATTCTTGCCTTTACGGAAATAAAAAAAGTATATGTCAAAAATACTCCTGTTTTCTGCCACTTTTAATGCTTAATAAAATTTAAAAAAACACAACTAAGTAACACAACTGTTTTCTCAAGTACTAGCTGAAATCCCTTTTGTCAAACATTAAAACTTTACACATATGAAGAAAATAACACTTTGGTGTTGCAAAGTGTTATTTTCAAAGCCATCTGGTGCTAAAAAAAGAGATGAACTTTTGCATCAACCCAACATAAATCACTACTTTCATGCAGATATTCAAGGAATAAAGCAGTTTTGGTAGAAATGATAACACATTTTATTAATACATAATGCATTCATGGATATTAGAGAAGTACCATCTTTTAACCTTTATTATAGGTAAATGTTAAATATTAAAAAGCATGCCATCATTCTTGTTCAAAGGATTCATAAGAATAGAAAAAAGTCTTATTCAAGATAATCTAGCTGGCTCTTGTCTTTTGATTTCCTTGTCTCTCTTGATGATTTTTCTCTGACATTCCTTCCGTTGGTGTAACATTTAGACAAGATTGCCTGTGATAGATCGCATAAACTACTGGTAATAAGCAGTGCAGTCCCAACTTTCACACAGTGCTCCACAACCTTTTGAACAGTTGCAAAAAATCATGTTTAGAAGACAATCCAGTGTAAGAAGTTGTGATGTTCAATTCAACTCCAACAAATTATTCTTCAAAATCCATTCACTCTCTTCAGGATTAAGTTCATTAACTAGCCATGTTTGGACTTCACAATACACTCAAAATAGGTGCTCCTCAGCTGCATTAGCTGTAGGTGGTAGTAAATTCACATTTACTGGTTTGTTCTTCAGAACAGACTTAGTGAAGGACAAATATCTATGTTGATGGACTCTTCTTTTAATGAAGTGCCATACATACCCAGGAAAAATTTTATTCCATTAGAAAAAATTAACTCACGAGAAGCATCACTTTTGTTGAAAACTTGAACTGCATGTTGCAAATACCACCGTTTTTGTGATAGTTTCAAAAATATCATCATCAACAGGCGTGCGAGCTGCTGTCAGAATTGCCGACAAAAATCATCATCTCCAACAATGGTTATGTTTCTACAAGGATTTTCAAGCACAGTTTCAATAATCAAAACAGCATTATCTTGAGCTTGTTTGACAGTTAAATTAGCAGCCTTGATCTTTTCAGTTACCATTAAATTTAATCTGCTTTTGTTGTTGATACTGGAAAGAAATCTCTCTTGGCTCGCTATTAGTCATCATTTCATCAAATTGAATGTCTGTAGAAGACAATTTGGAGAATTGACAAAGTTGTTCCATGGTTTTTACACTTGTGTCTCTCTTACTATAATAATAATAATAATAACTCTCCCGTGGTCACCACCTGGTCGTAGTGGGAGAGCCCAGTAATTTTACAGATCCATAGGGCAATGCAGGCTGGAGCACAAGCTCCTGGTAGGGACACCCATGCCAGTAAGGTCTATGGGGAGAAATGAAGCTAAGAGTGACCACACACCCACATTCTGTGGAGATAATCATTATGGTAGTAACCAGATCTAAGT